CCCTTATTCTGTATTCAAATGCTGAATACCCCGTATTCAGTATCCGAATACACCCTTATTCTGTATTCAAATGCTGAATACGTCCATAGGCTCAATACCCATTGTCCAGCCCCTAGACATCCCAATGTATAGACTTTATACATCTAAATGTATAGACCTTATGCATCCCAATGTATAGGCTGTAGCCGTCCAGATTATCCAGCCTAGATTTTGAAAAAAACTAGCCCAGATAATGGAATTATCCAGCCCAGATAATGGGAATATCCAGCCCAGATAATGGAATTATCCAGCCCAGATAATGGGAATATCCAGCCTACGTAGTATTGAGACACACCCCGCACAAATCCATTTTCAGACCTTGAAAACACCCATTTTCAGACCTTGAAAACAACCATTTTCAGACACTGAAAACGGCAAAAAACACTTTCAGACCCTGAAAACGGCATTTTCAGACACTGAAAACGGCAAAAAACAATTTTCAGGCACCGAAAACACCAGTTTTCAGGCAATGAAAACACCCATTTTCAAGCACTGAAAACACCTATTTTCAAGCACTGAAAACACCCGTTTTCAAGCACTGAAAACACCCGTTTTCAAGCACTGAAAACACCAATTTTCAAGCACTGAACACCCCTAACTAAAACACACAACATTTATATATAGCACTGAACATTTCTTGAACCAATGCTTCAGGAATTTCATTTGATGGCAGCCTTTGCCCTTTTTCAATATGTTTGTTTTCTATTACATTGCCACAGTCCCTTTTACACAATGCTCTGGGTTGCCACCCTTCCAAGTTTGTCCAAAGCCTAGTGCGTCTGCTGTATTCAAATCCATATTTACAAAAGTCTAAATCATAATAGGGAAGTTTTTTCATAAACTCTTGTTCTTTCCACAAACTTGATTGAGGATTTTGTATCACAAAAACCTGTGGTTTGAAGTAATTGATTACCTCAAGTATTTTTAACACAATCTTATTGATTTCATCTATTTTTCTGACATCATTGGTATTTACCCTATTGTATTTAAAAGCTGGGGGTGAAGAAAAGACAAAGTCAAAGTATTTCACTGGATATTTTTTTATATTTCCATTGTAGTATGTCGCAATTGATATCAGCCCCTTTCAAATCTAACGACACAACATCCCAGCCCATATCTTTTGCGACAGTTCCCACACTGCCTGTCCCGCTAAACATCTCAAGTAATTTCATATAATTTATATATGAAATTATTGTTGAAAGACACGCATTTTATCAATCCATTAATTTATACACTTCACCATCCCGTTCAATCTTGTAAAACTCAAGAGTTTGACTTTTAGGTTGCTTCACGCGACCTTCATTTAGCATTTTCAGATATTGAGATTGTTTCTCTTCAAAACTGCCTCTTGGGCGACCCACCTGTTTTTTCTCAAAGATTTTATCAATCCTTTCTTTTTCAGCATCAGCATCATTGTTTTCAGCAGGTTTATTTTTCACTAATATATCAAGTTTTTCTAATGCCTTGTTCATTAAGTCCATCAATACCTTCACATTCTTGTTATACTTAGTCATCTTGTTCAGCATCTCTGCCATCTCAGGTTGTTTATCATCTAAATCAGACATTTCTATATATAATTATTTAGATATTTATTTATTTATCAGTTCAACGTGTGTTAAAATCACTCTTTAAATAATTTTAATCCATATCATTTATTGCCAGTTGTCCTTTACTTTTGGGGGTAGTAGTCATTACATCCCGTATCATATTGTTAGTGCTTTCCTTATTTTTGTCCTCTGGTGTAATCTGGCGGTTAAAACTGAAACTGATGCTATGGTCTTCACTTTCTAAAACAATTTCACCGTCATCATCCTTTTTTACATTCATTGTTTTATCATTCTTGCTGATTTTGAAACTACAGGGGGGACATTTACATTTGATGCCCTTGGGGTTGATTTCAATTTCATTTCTCATCTGTAGTTTGCCATTACACAAGGGACATTCAAATACAATGTTTTTAGATGTCAGTTTTTGTTCCTCATTCAGATTGACAACAGCGGGTTCTTCATCTGATAGTTCAAAATCTTCAGGGATTTGCTTTTTTGGTATTTTACTACTCATCTTTGGTTTTGCTTTTTTGGGTGGCATTTATATGATACTTAAGATAATTTATTTGTTAAAGGGAACGAGATGACACAACATGTACAGCATGCACTGTTTAGACAACATGCTGTGACCGCCAAACATTGGCTCAAGCGTATGGAGAAAAGGGCTGCGTCGCGTGACTCCGCATGGCATTCATCGGCTACCAGTAACAAGGGTACTACCAGATTGAGATAACATCCAGGGCAAGGATCAAATTGTTCACAGGTTATCAGCCGTAGGGCTCACTTCTCCCGTCGGGAGAGTAGTACCTGCGTGCTGGTAGCCGGGCCTTCTGAGCAATTGATTGAGGACGCAAAGGACCAATCAGCTCATCATCGCAAAGATGCAAGGCGGCAGCGGAGATTCGCGCACCACGCAGTTTACCTTCAATGAGAACACTGCCATGCCGGTCGAGGAGGTCAATCAATCTTCCCCTGGCGACACGGCAGACAGTGGTGGGATACGCTCAACCCGAACTACACAGTCCGGATGGCAAGTAACATCAAACAGACGAAGGATATCCACCCAAAGTACACCAAGATCTTCTCGAAACAGTGCTCGAAGTGATGTTGTCCGCCAAGGGCATCGACCATCTCGAGGACGAACTACCCCAAGGGACAGATCCACCAGGGCCGTAACCGACCGAATTGGTGAGAGGACCGGGGATAGTCGTGTTAAGAGGAGATCAACGGATACTTCTGTGGCTAGTGAACCTATTGCCATGATAGAAGAACTACGGGCACAATGTCAATCCCTACGTAATCAGTTGAACCACATGGAAGCATACGCTGCATCTAGAGATCAACTGATTCATGACATCGAGATCAGATTCACTGAGTATCTTCAGGAACACAACCAGAATGTATTTGATGAGGTCAACGCACTCAATCATAGATTATCATGTTCCGCAAATGAGGTTGCAGAATATCAAGCAGAACTAATGGTAGCATCTCAGGAAGACGAAGGTGCAACAATACGCATCCAAGACCTTGAACGCCGAGGTGCCCTAATGGAACATGGTGCAAGACGGATCCATCAACGTGGTATGGAGATCCAGGAAGAGTACAAGGATGAAGTACACCACCTTCAAGGACTATTGGGTAATACGGAGGCAAGACTGCAACAACTTCATCAAACCAATGTCTTAACCACCGATATTGCCAATAGACTATACAATGAAGGTCAAGAAATGCAGACAGATTTCCAGAACTCAATCATGGAATATCGTAATCGATCCGAAGTGGCATCCTTCTCTAGCAATCAACTTGAAGTGATTAGCCAACAACAATCAATTGCAGTTCATGAGTTATCTGAACGGAATCAGCTATTAAGTGAAGCTTTAGTTCAGTCCCGCAAACAGGCCGAGCTGTATGAAAGCAGTATTGACGAGATCACTAGAGAATCTAGAAAGAAGGTTTTCGAGGCAAATCAGGCCAAATTGGAAAGTGATCTGAAGCATCGAAATACTGAACATGATACTGTCAGAAGAATTGCATCATACAGGAACCATGAGGCCGAAGCGATATCACACCTGAGGCTTGAATCACAGGCTAGTGCAAATTCGATCGCAAGGGCAGAGCACTATGAAGAGCTCTACACCAACGAGCAGGAGATGAACTGCGAATTAAGGGATGAGATCAAGTTGCAGAACATGAAGTTGCGAAGATCGTTGACTCAGGGCACTACGACCGACGGTCGTGGCCCCGATGAAATGCTTGTTGAAGATCGACGTAATCAAGCCAAAATCGCTCAAATCAGGGTTCAGGATCTAGATCATGAAGTTCATGAATGTTTACAAGAGAACATGTTGTTAAAAGAGAGATTGGCTGAAGTTGCGGATGTAGGGGCGTCGTCCTTCTCCAATGCTGAAGTCCGAACTTTAAGATCTGAACTAGAAAGTGAGCGCAAAATGAAATTGGCTAGTGGTGTTCAACAATATGAGAGATCATGCATGTTCATGGGGGAAATTCAGGATAGGGATGAAAAGATTGGTATCAAGAATTCTGAGATTGTTGACATGAAACGTCACCTAGATGAACTAAGAAAGAGTCTCAAAGATTCTGAAACATCTATGTCTAGGGTCAGCCCTGATACACTTCCCTATTCGGCAGGCATCCCCAACTATGATCTCGCATCAAGACTGGTCATTGACAAACTGGAGAATGACGTGAGTGAGGCTAACTCTGAGAACGCTATTCTAAAATCTTGGGTTTCGCAGATCGACAAGGAGTTGACCTATGAGACAAATATGGCTCATTCCTATCGCGGACATGCTGGACCTTCTCAACAGCAATCTTCTCAATCGAACAAAAGAATCACCGACCTGCTGAAAGAGGTTGACAACAAAATCGCCGATGGAACTGAGAAGGACTATTACAAGCCTCCGAGCGGATGGGGCGGTCCGCCTGACCCTGATGGACCTCCTGACCCTTTCGGGCCCAATGGTCCAGGACCACCTCCAGAACCTCCTGGTTTGCCTTCAGTTCGAGGATCACAACGTGATTCAGCAGATGACATCTCCACAGCGGCATACACGGCAGAAGAAGTACCGAGAATGTCAAGACGGGAGGCTGACAAAGTCTACTTTGGAGCAGCGGGGGACTTAGGGACTTATAAGTTATGAAGTAAGTTCACTTGTAAGTGGCTATGTGGCATGGCAAGTTAGTTATAAGCTTCTAATTGGTTCCCAGGATGTGGTAGGTTAGATTTGACTTACTATTGATTTAGGGTGAGATATAAGTTTTATAAGTGAAATGATCATGACTTAAAGATCACTTAGCGACTACTTAGTTGAGATTTTGAAACGTACGTTTGGGGAAGTGTTTTGGGTTAGCTCTGAAATCACGATGGTTTTTGCAGGCATTTTGGTTCCAGGCATGTCGGTTGAAAAGCAGTTGGAAGCGGCTCAAAAATTCCTAAGAGGAATTCGGTCGCTGACCTCCTACGCGGAGGTCAGGGACAAACAGGCTTCGGGTCTTTTGAAAGCCTTGGAGAAAGTGCAGTGCTTCACGGCTGCTCAAGCGGCAGTGTTGCTGGCACAGGTGCAGCCCGACTTATGGGGTGAGTCTCAAGTGGACTCATTCCGTGAGAAGGTTGCGCTGAAGACGAGGCCGGTGGAAAGCGATCAGCCACGTGCTGTGACCCAGGATTTTTCGCTGCTGCCATATTATTTAAATGATGAGTTGGCAGCAGCGATTGGGCAGGTGGATGGTGACGCAGAGCGGTTGCTGTTTCGCTTGTGCCATCATGCGGCGCAGCTGAGCCTAAGGAATGCCTCCGAGGCAACCAAGGCCACATTGGTCGTGATGGCTCACTGGGCCTCATGCAAGCGTGGAGCCTTTTCTCCAAAGCAGCAGCATGAACTGTTTCTGCGTCACAAGCCGGCTGTGACCAAATATTTGGTAGCACCACCAGAGTCTCAATTATTGGTGGAGTTGCCGCTTCAATGGCAAGATTTGGATCAGCAGATAATCCAACGTGCGTTTCCTACGGGGAAACCTGCAAGCATGGCAGAGACTGCTAGGGACATTTGCGACTATGTTCGTCGCTTCCCTTTACGGAGGGATAATAAGTTGCTGCAAGGCACGGGTGGTACGTCCAGCACAGTGCCTGCCGGGCTCCCAAGTGGAGTTTTGCCAGTGGAGGATGTCTGTCGAGTAGTTGCCGCATGCAGCCAATCCTTCCAAGCGCAAGTGCAGCGGCAGCAGTCCAGCCAAGCAGTGCATTCCACGGCATCTCCAGTGTTGGCTATTTGCGATGTATCAGCTGACGAGCGCGCTGCTATGCGCTTAGCGTCAGAAAGGGACCCACGTGGTTCCGACCACAAGACTGTGGACATGCCTGTCGCTGCAGGGGAGGACCGACGTGGTCCTGAAACTATGAGTGTCGAGGATCAACTAGCTGCGCTCCGACAAGATATGGGACAAGGCAAGCCAAATTCAAAGGAAGAGGAGACGGAAGTACCAGGTGCAATGAAAAAACCGGCGTCTTCCAAGAAATGCGTGGCTGCGGCAAAGCCAAAAGGCAGGCCACGCGCCAAGCCCAAGGCAGGAAGCGTTGTGGGGAAGACATCCAAGCAAAGGTTGAAGCGACCAGCGGCCGCGAGTACGGCTCGCAGCGCCGCGCCTACGGGGCGCGGGTCAGCCACGGCAAGCACCAGTGGCGCACTGTCACGCGCAGAGCGTCGGCAGAGGGTTCTTGCCGTGGTGCCGCGCAAGATCCGGCAGAAATATGCTGACGGCTGCGCGAGATGCCGCTTCACCGCAGGGTGTTCGCCCTCGTGTTGGTTCCAACGGGGTTTTGACGTGTGAGGCGCTACGTGACATCGGGTGGTAGAAATTAGGAACACTGAGGACTATGTACGGGAACACCTTGGCAGATTTTGCGATGGTAAAAGAAACGTTTCAGGACGTGGGAATGCATGTTGTGGTACTGGTTCGGCTGTGACACGGCATTGGAAACGTTTGTGTTGCTCGGACTTGTAGATCGGGGGGTGCAATGAAAGTCTGTGCCGTTTCTTTCGTTTGAGCTGCCTGGAGGTCGCCCGTTGGAATTTCATGTGTGTATTCTCTTTGCAGGTTTAATTTGGCTCAGGAACGTTGATACGGATCTGCATATATATGGTGACGATCTGAAGGACACAGTGATTTCATCAGTCAGTGTAAAACTGTATGTCGATCGTCTCTTTGTTGCATGCCAAGGTGCCTTATTCTGATTCTGTGTCGTGTGCTGCAGGACGCATGGGGCCCAAGAAGGACGAGAAGGAGGAATCCGAATATACGTACGAGAGCGAGGCGGACGCCGAAGACGATGGAGAGCCGGAGCCTGCGCCACCCCAGCTTAGGCTGAGAGGACATATAGGAGGTCCTATGCGACGCCCGGCCACATAGGACCCTTCTGTTTGCGGGGCCGGGTATAAACAATGAGGTGTGGACCTAGCCTAGTAAGGTCATGTTTCAAAGAAATCAAGCGCGTAAGGCCCTCGGGTGGCAAACACCTGCGCAAAAAACATGGATGCGGCACCTCTGCTAGAGCGCGCATGATGTCATGCGTCTGCTTTGACAAAGGTTGAGCGAAAACCGTTTGTTGATGTGCCATGTGGCTTCTTAACTTTGTGTCAGGGGCAGAAGTTTGTGGATATTATTTCTGTGCGCGCCGAGAAACTTTAAATCCTTATGCATGGATTTGCTTGCATCTTGCAGAATACACGTTTGGCGTTGAAGGATGCTGGTGCGCAGCAAAATGCCCGAACCACCTTTGGCCCTGAGTCAAGGCAGGATGAAGAGGCTTTGGCAAACTTGGCGTCGCCATGTGCATGCACGGCGCCGCCGCCCGTCATTTGCCAATATCAAGCCGGTGCACCTGCTTTGCCCAAAGCACCCCAGCAACCGTACATACAATATCCTGTGTCAAGGCTTGCACATGACAGTTGGCGGTGAAAATTTGTAGCCTATCAGCAGGCATGGTCATATTCGCTCTGATATGGCCGCACGGTTCACGGAAGCTACTGGAAGGTAAACAAGCGGTACGTTTGGCAATGCAAGATGGACCATCTACAATGATTTTGCTTGGTATATCCACACTACCCAAACAACTTAAGAAACGCATTTCCTAGCCATGGCAGATTTAATGAGCAGCTGATGCCATTCAGGCAAGAGCATTTAATGGAATCCAAACGTATTGGCCGACAGGTTTGGCTACGGGCGTTTGTAAAACTAATCTTGATGCTGAAGTTTGCCTTTCAGATCTGGCATGATCTGGCGTATGATCTTGCGCAATGTCGGTTGCATCCTGGAAGCCGGCGGATCTGCCGGAAAAAGCTTTTGCCATGCTGTCCACACTCACGCAGGCATTGTATGACAAAGTAAGTCGGCAAACCCACCCAAAGCATCAGCTGCTGTTGGAACCTGGCCTTTATCGTTGCATTTGGCAAGGAAGTTGGGTACATATCGCCGTGATTCGCCGTGTTTTCATCTTCAACTAATCGGCAGCCGGCTTGTGGGGATACAAGGTCCAAGTTAAAGCAAGCATTCGCAGCTTGCCTCCCGAAAATCTTAACAAAAATGTATATGCCTTGCGGCCGGGAAAGATATCAAGGTGGTTTGGCGTTCAAGGGCCGGGTGGCTATAGAAGAACCGTGCCCGACCCTTGGGAGAAAAAAATGAAAAAAATAGAAACTGGCACTTTGCACTGCCGTACCTTTTCAAATTCAAAAATGGACTTCAGAAACTTTCCCTGAGCCGGGCAAGCTTTTCTGAAGTTCCCTTTTTCAAAAATGCAATAGGAGGCCACGGCGGGCCGCGACACCATATTGTGGTGCATTAAAACTTTGCACACGTTTTGACACGGTCACTTTTGCGCATTTTTCGTTGCCAGAAAATCCAAAAGTGACAACAAAGCGGAAAACGGCCGCGACACGCTACGACACGTTTTGACACGCATTTTGGGGGTCCTATGCGTACTTTGACACGCTTCGACACGTTTTGACACGCGCCATTTCGCGCACTTTTTCGGGGTAAATGCGTGAAAGAATGATTTCACGGATGCCTATATGCAGCACGCACACACACACACACTCTATACGACACATGTAGCCAGCTTCATATACGACGACTGGAGCAAGCAATATATTGCATCATCCGAAAGGGAGTCACCTTATTGAAAGAATTGATTTTGGGGCTGATTGATCTTCTCTGAGGGAACGCAATGCTGTACCACATTTCGTATACAGCAATGGAGCCACCCCGCGGCAAAGTGCATCAAGCCAAATCCTGGAAAGCCACAGCAGGTATGCCTTCTTTTGATCCGCAGGCAGACTTATGGTGAACATTGATGTGGCGAGTGCGTGCCAGCGTGTCGTGTCGTGCCGTGTCGTGCCGTGTCGTCTCGCGCCGTGTCGTCTCGTGCCGTGTCGTGTCGTGTCGCGTCGTGTAGCGGCGTGTCGCGTCGTGTCGTGTCGCGGCGTGTCGTGTCGTGTCGTGTCGCGTCGTGTCGCCACGTGTATATGCCGTGTCGGGTTGCATCGTGTCGTGTCGGATTGCTTCGGGTCATGTGAGGTCCAAATTAAACGGCTTGCAGTCAAGCGCATTCAAACCTCTTGGACTTCGACATGTCCGGGAGAAATAACCAATGCAATCACTTCCTTCTGAATTATCTTCCTTGGCTCCGAGAACCAGAAGCCATGGCCTCACAAAACAACATGTTGATTTCGTCAGCGGCTGCCTAGAAACGAGCGAACAATCTGCTGAGCAATATATAAGGCAACTTTCCACCTCCTTGTGACGCGTTTCAAGATGCCACGACGCGCCGCATACCAAATCAAATCCCGGACGCCCGTAACACACACCACAGCACGTGACAGCACGCCACACAACGCCACGACACCCCAGTCCACGCTATAGGACATGACACGACGGCAAGCCACGACTGCTAAACATACAACACCCTTCTCAGCAGTGACGCGAGTTCAACACAATAAGCAGATGACGAAAACATGTTTGGTTACAAGAGCCTTGCTTTGATATTTAAATATATATATATATATATAGCGGCTAAGGTGTTTAAAAAGCCTTGGAAAAGAAAGAACACCTTGACAAGGCAATGCAATCAGACTGAGCATGCATGTCCAGTGCCGAGCCCCGCGTATAGCGCAGCGTTCTCTCTGGACGTTTCCAGATAAAGATGGACTTTGATATTTGCAGCAGAGAGAAAAAGAGGCAAGGCGATGCGGGGGGTAGAAAGGCACACTGAGCCCAAAGCGTTTCTTTACTCACTAAAGGCCATGTTCACGCGCAAGTATTCGAGCGACCATGGTATTCTTGATGTTTGCTCTGTGGATTTTAAGGTCCGGGCCTGATTTGTTGAAAGAATCTTTGGATATACACGGTGGCAAACATGACGGGTGGCATGCAATATGATGCAACAGTGAACCATCTGAAAGCTCAATCTAACCAGGGGTCCTATGTGGCCACTTGGGGGTCCTATGCAACACTTTGGGCTTGGGGTCCTATGAGGCCACTCAACCTAAGCTGGCCTCCAAGATCTGGCGCAGAACGAGCACCTCCCGAGCGGTCTTCGAAGGCAAAGCCGCCTACGTCGGCCACGCCCGCTGTCGCAAGTGTAGCCACGGCTGCACGACCACCGTCTCCTGCCAGGGACTCTAGCAGCGATCGAGCCCCGCGGGCACGTTCGCATCGCTCTCGGAGCCCACGGGCCCGGGGACGTGATCCGGACCGCAGATCACGGTCACGTCGCCGCCATAGGCGACGACGAGAGGAAGAAGCCACTCGTGCCAGTGGTCCTAGCAGCCCCACGCGGGATGCCAAGCCTCGCGAGCCATCGATGCCTCCACCGCCACCACCCCCAAGATCGAAGGGGAAGAGCAAAGGCAGAAACCCGCTGTTTTGTCCCCACTGTTGGACTAAGGTCAAATCAGGGGGAGGCACATCAGGCCTGAGTCAGCACATGTTTTGGAACGAATCATGTCTGACGTGGCAGCGTTACGGCAATGGAGATCGGGGGGTGACGTGGGAGGAAGCCGCGGAGGCTGCGCATGAGCTGAAGGCACAGCGTGAGCGGGAAGCTCTTGCGGAGTCGGACGGAGTCATTCCGGCCAAATCCCTGCGGCATCGTCAGACGTTGGAGGCGTCACAGCCCGAGGGGGAGACGGAGGAGACCGTTCCACGCAAACGGAAGGAGAAGAAACGGCGTCGTCGCCGTCGCCGCAGCCCTTCGCCAGATGTGCGTGCAGGACCGAAAGGTCCACGCCGTCGTCGACCAAGTAGCGATGACGACGGAGATCGGGATGGCGGTTCGGCTAAGCGCCGCTCCGCGCCAGAGGAGGTCTGGATCAAGGTACCGCGCTCGGCTTTGCGGGGCTAGGACGTGCCTGTGATCGGTTGCCCGTCTGAGAGCCAAGAAAAAAGGGAATCAGCGGCTATTTTTTGGGGGCTTGCACCTCATTTCCCTGAAAGCGCAGAGCATGACAGTTGGTGCGTGGAAGGGATCGGCTGGCTGTGCTGCAGGTGGGTGTGACTTGTTCATGTGCCAAATATTATGCACACATTGCAGCCGTTTTCGGGTTCAAATCATTGAGTGGCACTGTATAAGCCTATATTATGTGTACAAACATGTCAGGCATTGACATCTCACAGGGCAATTCAATCTATAGATGGAATGTGAATATATACTGACATGGACATGCACCGACAGAACGATTCTTGCTGGCATTCTGCAGTAGTGTCTCGAGCTGTGCGGTGCGGCATGGATTGGGCAAGCCGGGGAGCGGCTACCCGCGAGGACGCCTGAGCTACGTGCTCTTGCAAAGAGGGATGGCAGTCAATGTTTCTTTCTCAATCGCTCCTCAAGGCTTAGAAGAAGTCTTTCAGGAGATGGTGAAAGCAATTCCTGAAAAGCCCTTCGAGGAGTTTACCTCTACGTGGGGGACGGTCTGTCGCTGCTTGGACTCCACGGGAGCTTGGGCATGCGCAGAGGGAAGGGCTGCAGACCGCAAGGTCTTGACACGGCTAAGCACCTTGTTGCGCTACGGGCAATGGGGTGCGACGCCGCTGGATGTGCCGCCGCATCCAAAAATACAAGGCTTTTGTTTGATTCCGGCTTCCTACGAGGAGAACACGAATATCTGGCTTGAACAATTGACTTGGAATCAGATGTACCTGTCGGACGACTTGCATCGCGCTGGCAAATGGTTAAATATCTTGGCATGGCACTTCTCTAGGCGAGAAAATCGCACCAGGGAATTTCTCTGGTGTCGACGCCGTGCATGGCTTCTAAGGGAAGCTCGACGCAGCCTACGGGCTGCGAAGGTGGTGACAGAAGCATCACTATAGGGTTTCACTCCAAAAAAGTCAGACTTTGTCCGTGTCTGCGGATGTCTGCCAATGTCTGCGGATGTCTGCGGACCGAAACCATGACAGCGACGTGTCTGCGGCACTTGTCTGCGGAATGTGGAAAAGGTCATCTGGGAGGGGGTTTCAGCGTGTCTGCGGTGTCTGCGGACAGGGAGAAGCCGGCTAGGACGCTTCGGACTTGTCTGCGAGATGTCTGCGGGATGCGCAACCGGCAGAAGCGAGTCTTGTGAGGGGTGTCTGCGGGATTGCTTGGAAAAGTGAAAAAATACTACAGGGAATGACAAAGGAAAGTAACACATCTCACCCATAACAGAAGGATGCCGTTTGGGATGCATGTCATTATTCGTCGTCCGTTTGCATCGACATCTGTTGGCAGACCTAAATTTCCTATGATACGCAGACCTTGCACACTTAATCGTTCATGAAAATTCCCAGTTTTGCCACCTTGTCCGCTTTGCTGCAGCACTCGGCTCGAGCACACTCCGCAACGACACTAGCCAGGCACGAAGCTGACGCATCTGTCATCGCAATGGACGAAACAGCGGCCGCACCTGCACAGCCAGCCACCCAAGAGGTGGTTTGCAAACGGTGCAACAGAAAGGTCGCTGCAGAAACAGGGCGCGTGCATGGCAAAGCGTTCGTGTGCCAGCCATGCGCGAGCATCGAACGGGCCATGCACCGCAACTTGGGCACAGCTGCAGAGATCGGAACCTGGTCAAGCGAAGATTGCCACGCATTCTTTCAGAGTCTGCATGAAACCAAGGAGCAGCAGGGCAACTTGCAATGGGCGACGATCCGAGCTGCGCTTATCCGCAAGTTGACAGAGCGGAAGATTTCCAGCTTCGCTGCGACAACGACAGTGACACCATTGCCTATGTCTGTTCTCCTCGCTCAGGGCTGGGAGAAGGAAGTGGTGGAGCGTTTCAAGTCAGAGCACAGCTCGACTTACGACACCTGGGTGTACAAAGTGCCGATCACGAAGCTGTCTTGGAAAGATACGTTTGAGTCGATTCAAGAAAAGATACTTGAACAAGAGAAGGCCGCTTCCAAGAACCGTGCCGGGAAAAAAAAGCAACAGGATGACCTGGATGTGCCTGTAGCAGCCTCTTCCAAGGAAGAGGCGTAGGATAGCCACTCGGAGAAAAAGGAGGTACAGGAGTTGCGAAAGCGCATTGCGCACAACGCAAAGGTCGCCGGCATGGCCGCAAAGGCTTTGGGACCCCTGTCCACAGCTGAGGCGTCTGTGACCAAGGTGCTGGCCAAGGCAGAAGGCAAAGACGGAATCGATGCCTCTGCGCAGGCTCTGTGCGAAGAGAAACGAGGTGTGGTCACAGCGTGGTGTCAAAGTTGTCGCGAGACGATCAACGCGCAGGAGAAGCTGAAGGCCTTACCTGCCCAAGAGGCAGTGGAACGGCTGGATAATTTGCCATTTGACGCGTCGGAGATGAAGATAACTTTGAAGACTGTCGGTGAAGCCCAAAAGGCACTAAAGAACAGCTTGCCGAAGAAGGTGGCAGCACCGAAGAAAAAAGCGGAGGACGCCACGGGCGAAGCCGCAGGAGGGCAGCCTGCACCCAAGCGGCGTAGAGCCAAGTCGAAAGCCTAAGAGGCGCTATGGGATCGCATTGGATCTCTCTGTCAGATCTGCCTTGGCTAAATAGAAGTGAATGCGGCGATGCTACGGGCAAAGCCTGCGAGTGGGGGCCATGGCAGCGTCGAGCCTAAGAGGCGACAGAAAGGATCAGAAGCGATCATTCTCTAAGTGAGATTTTGGATTGCAGCAGTGACATGGGGTGATGTCACTGGGACCAACGTGTCACTAGTGTAAGTTCAAGACCTGAGGAGTTGAACTATCAACGTCCATGTGGTGAAAAGAAAGTGTTCCGTGCTGCTGCCGTCCCAATGAAAGGTCATCCCGCCAAATGTGATGCAACATATATAACATGTTTTACGAATATGGCAAGGTAGGAACGTTGGTATGGTCATAGAAAAAAAACGACACCGTTTGTTTCGAGGGAGTGTGTGTTTACTTGGTGCTTCAAATGTTCTGCAGCAGTCCATGCTCACGTAGGTTGCTAGGCTCAAGGAGATGTAGCAGTAGAGATGGCGTCAAAGAAACGCAAACTGAGCGTAGATGACGATCCACTGACCCAATTTCAAACTTTGCGGCAGCTGCCTCGTCTCAGTCGGGCAGATTGCCGTCAAGTCATTGGTTTGCTACGAGACGATGAGGCGGGGCAAAAAACAGCTTCCCGGGAGTACCACATGTATCCTAAAGCGAGCAAGCTGATGCAAAAGCAGTGGTCCGGAGAGAAAAAAGACGTTCCTGTCTTTGTGAATTCCTTTCCGGACTTACTGCAGGCCAAAGTGGATGCTTGTCCCCTGTACAGGCGACTCTTGTCCGAAGCCTGGGAGGACTACGATGGAAAATTGACGCTGGTGCTTTTCTCGGATGATGCAACACCAGGCAACATCCTGGCTCCCAGACAGCCGAAGAAATCATGCATGATGTACGCTAGCTTCATAGAACTGAAAGTCCTATTCTTGGATGGCTGCTGGATCCCGTTAAGCAACAAACGCACAACGGAGATGACGAGTGAGCAATATTCCCATGCGGAATATTTGCGATGCGTGCTTGAGGCCGTGCATGACACGGCTCAGCACGGCATCCCGATCACACTTCGGCAAGGCCATTCCATGCTATGGATTAGACGAGTCGTTATATTGGGAGATCACGAAGGCCTAAGGGCCTTTGCGGGATGTAAAGGTGCAGCCGCGCTGAAACCATGTTGGCGCTGCGTCAACGTTATTGCGGGCCACCGCGCCTTGCCTCCGGGGCATGTGCATCTGGGCAATGCAGACTCTGCGTTGCTGCGTCCACAAACGGATGCGGGTCTGCAGGCGGTGGTGGCACACCTACGTGGGTGCACCACGAAGAAGGCACTGCAAGAGGCAGAAAAACTCTTGGGCTGGTGCCTATCCACTATGGAAAAGGGTGTCCTTGGCTCCACAGCCTTGAAAGAGTGGATATCCCTTGATTCCTTCTATGTCGATTCCATGCATCAGTTCTATTCCAATGGCTTAGTGAACCAAGACATTGGTTTATGGTATCAAACCTTTCGAAAAGCCGGCTTCGACCTCTTGTACCTGCAAAGGTGGATGCAAATCGGATGGAAAACTCTGGCTGGGGGACCCCCACTCCAATGGAATGCGTCCATGACAAACTGGTCAGAGATGATGGAGATTTTCGTGGCGATGCAGAAACTACGTTGCAAGCACTGCCACTGATAGCCAGCTTCTCCAAGGAGATGCTTGGCAATCACGACGGCATGCAGTCCGCGAATGACGCGTTGTGGGCATTGTTTGAGGTCACGCAGCTGCTGCAGAAAACCAAACACCATCCGCAGGAAGGCAAGCATATCGAAGTGCATTTGAAAAAGTACAAAGATGCATGGGACATCGCCTACGGGGCGATAGCGGGGGCAAGACCCAAGTTTCACTATGCGCTCCATCTCCAAGAGCAAATTCACAGATGGCGGCGACACATTGATTGCTTTGCTGGGGAACGCAAGCATCGTGTGTTTAAGTCCATCGTGGCTCCGCGCCTGACACGCCTGAATTGCTTCAGCCGGAGTACGCTGTTGCAAATGACAGAAACGGAGTTGACTACGAGTCACCACGAAAGTGAATACACTGGACAACTCATAGGGAAGCCCACGCACAACGTGGAGCTGGCAATGGAGCTCGGAATCTGTCCTGAAAGCTTCTTTGCCAAGGGCATCCAAATCTATTGCGTCGAATACCCACGTGGTAGCTTCGTCCAAATGTCAGCTACGTGCTGCATAGAAATCTTACATGGTCTGTCAACTTCACAAGGCTTCTACGTCGTGGTGCGAAAATTGCAATCCTTTCTTGCAAAGAAATTCATACTCAAATGGAAGCGCTTATCTGGCACACAGACAATCCTTGCAGCATCTACTTTGATGCACAAGGAACGCATGCGTTTGCTCCGCCAAGATCAAGACGGTCTTTGGCTTTTACGCTAATCCACGACATCAGGAAGCAGCCAAAAAAGAGCCATGTGACCGGCGGAGAACATCCCAAAACCCTGTCAACATCCACGTTTTTCAAAAATGCTACGCATTGCAAAAAAAACCCTCTGAAACACTTAGCCAGCTTAGCGGCCGCTTAACTCTCACTTAGCACATCATCAAACCTAAGTTTCCTAAGTGCCACCTAACTACCAACTAAGTTCCTAAGTGCCCCGGCGGCTCCATAGTATGTTAGCCCATGGCCGAAGCAACAGAATCTTGGGGTTTGGCAATCAGATCTCATCAAGAGTGTTGTTCTTGCCGCAAATGATGGGGACAAAGCTGCATGGGAAGCATGGCTACAGCCGGCTATTCGACCGAATCCTGACATCGAGCTATTGAATGACAGTGGAGGGCAACGATATCAGTCAATTGACGCCAAGTTGTCAATTGCATTGTCAAACGTGATAGCCCAAGCCGGTGATGTTGCTCGTCATGTAGCAATCAAACTGAGATTGAGAACACAGAGTCATAGCCGAAGAGGAACCTACGTTATGGGACGAGAAATCTTGGCTATGATCCTGGAACACTTCAGAACCCCAGGTCAACGAGAGACAGCCTTCACCATGGAGCACATCGTATCGATGAAGTATCTCGGTGACTCAAACCTGGAAGTGTTCTATGAGAAATGGATGGAGATGGTGTCAAACATGATGCCGGATGATGTACCTCCTGATGATTGGCTTCGTGACGCTCTCTACAAGAAGATTCGAAATTCGAGTCTTATGATGTTTGACATCAAGCAGTACGAGTCATGGATTGAAGGAGACCAAAGACGAAGCTATCGCTACCTGTTGGACGTCATCGAAAGGCACATCTCCAGAATTAGAGAAGACAAGCATGTGGCCGCTAGGGAGAAGTACGCAAGAGACTTTGCAGGCGGCGGCA